GGCCTAAATAATTGGCAGTTAAATTTGGGTATTTATCCCCATAATATTGGGTGAATTACCAAGCTTTTTTTTTCCTTTAAAAAATAAACTCATCCTTAGTAAAAAGTATTTATACGAATTTCCTGACATAGTGATGATGAAAGAAGATTAAAGTATTATTATTTTTCATTTTTTAAATTTGAGAGGTATTTGCAATTAATTACTGCATTACAGCATATCCAATATACTCTGGTATGTATTTATGGTTTGTGTTTGAATAAGTGTGTCTTCAAGGCAAGCCCTGTCTACAAAATTATTCTGAGGATGCTTGATATGTACGTACTAGGCAGGCTGGTCTTCCCAGCTCCCCCAAGCACTCCATTGCTTGTGCACACTCACAGTCCCACAATTCGTCTCCTGTTCTCTGGATTCACTCTTTCTGGTCCTTCCTAAAGGAACTGTTGCTGTTCACTTGGTCCTTCCGACCTGGTCAGGATGCTTCTCCATTAGGCAACTTCCTTCCTCAAATATGCCGCCCACATTGATCTTCCCTGGTTTTTGACAATTAGACTTATGAACAGTGCCATATTTCTCAACATTTAGTTTTGTTTAGTATGGTTTCCTGCCTTTCTGAGGAGACAGGAAAGTTCTTGAGAACAGAGACTGACTTCCTTATTTCTCTACTGTACTCCAAAGCTGCCACCACTCTGTACAGATAAGTAAATGCTTGATATGACTCTAAATAGCTGCTCTATTTCTCAATACAGCAATTCCTGATCGCCACAGCTTTTGTATGCCTCTCTCAATAAAGGAATGAAACTATTTTCATTAGATGTTTCACTGAAAAATAAACAAAGAGTTTTTCACAATCTCAAGTCAGCATTCAAAGAGATACTCAGGCAGTGGAAAGCTGAGATCCAAGGCTTCAAGCTGAGTATTAAGCTGCAAGTAGACTGGCAGCACTGAGGGGTTTGTCATGGTCTATCTTCAGAATAAAACAGTTTGTGGTCTGCCACTGACATAAAAGTTTTCTAATCTAGTTCCAAAACCCCTGAACTTCTTTCCATTCATAGCACCATTTTTACTTTGCGCAGTTGGTCAGGGTTTTGAAAAACAAAAAATAGGAATTATCCCCATCCACTCCTCAGCATGACAGCAGAGAAATGATTAATAGGGACAAAGACCATGGAAACTCAGGGATCTAATATTGTCCAGGAATTTAAAAAAGGCTTTAGAATAGTCGAGATGGACTCCGGACAAAATTGTTCAGCTGATTAGAAAACAGTGCCTGTCAGTAGTTTTGAACCTTATTTCCTTACTCTTATTTTTCCTCACACTCTTCCCCCAAAATTGTGGCTATTACTAGCTTGTCAAGGGCCTGGACCTTCTCACTCCACAGGCAGGGTTATCATTCTGATCCTTCCTGCTCCAAATTGCCAGTAAAGTGCAATTGCTTATGTTCCATTCTCTGAGGAGCATGTGAAGATCCTGAATCTGATATAAAAACTAATTCATGAAAAATAACAATGGTTTGCAGGCTGCCATAGAACATAGTGAGATTTCAAATCACAACATACTGGGTATTGTCTCTCAGCCCTAACTAGCTGTGTGACCTCAAGCAAGTTATTTAATGTATTAAAGCTTCAGTTGACTCGTAGGTAAACAGGTATCATAAAGGAGCTTATTCACCGGCTTGTGATGAGGAATGAATACAATTATGTGTGTTAAGTGCCTGGCACAGAGCCTTGCAACTACTAAATGCATCATCAGCATCATCAGCATCAAAATTAATATTGTTCCCAGGTAAAAAGTATACTTTAAACAGAGCCCTTAGATATTTTAGCTCAAAGACGCGAATGATGATAAAAATACCAGAGGCTAAAACTCATTGCTTATTTTTCTTGGTGGAATTTGAGACTTGAGATTCAGCAAAATGCATTAAGGATGCAGGCACCTATTCCAACAAACAAATATAAGAAACAACTTTTGTCATCAGCATGCTGTCCTTTCAATCTCTTTCAACGTAGACTGAGGAGGAAGAGCTGCCCAGCGAGAATCCTGTTGCTTTGCCTCTCAGCACTGAACAAAAGCACCAGCAAGATTTCTCTCAGGGTCTTTCAGAGTTTACTCTCAGGTGTCAGCATCTTTGTTGTTGTTGTTTTTAATGAAGAAAACCAGAGACTTATACCTTTAAATACTGACGCAATAAAAGGAGTACATGTGATCTGGGTTTTAGTCTTAATTTTGTCACTAATAGCAATAGCTTCTTAAACTCAATTTCTATCAGTATATTCATTTCTCAAATATCCTCATCCATCAAATGCTTGCCATACGACTACACAGGGCAGTTACAGGATTAAAATAAAGTGTGAATTGAAAGCATTTTGAAAGGGAAAAACCACTCTCCAATTATAGGAACAATTATTTCTATTACAAACACCACAGCCAGAAGCCAAATTTGCATATCAACACTTCATTATTGGAGACGTTGGTACATGAGCATTTTTAAAAAGATTGTAATTTGAGTTTTCATGGCTTTTGCACTTTCTGTGACTATCTTGTTTACTTGCTTTTATCTAAAAGGAACAGTCTGTCAAATCTGGTAAATTACTCAGTTTAAGGCCTTTTTGAGGAATATTCTTTTCGGTGACATTTGTGATGCTTGGGATTCGCATCACTGCTAATCTGCAGTTACCCAGGCTGAGATAGGGGTCATTTTGGACATCCCTTTATGAGATGCTAAGGAACACCTTTGAGCCTAGGAAAGTAGAGGCAGGGCCAGGAGGATGAGGAGAAAGTCAATGCCAGCCAGTGTTGGAATCATGAGAAGCAATCATTCTAGAAAGAATCTGATTAATTTTTGCTTGAAGAAGTTTCCCTAATGTTTTCAAATTCACTGTCATCAATTATAGCTCTCTTGGCTAACAGCCATTTAAAGGTTAGGAATTCTGAGAAGTGCACCAAAGTTGGTCATGTGATCACTGACAGTACACTTGCATCTCAGGGTGCTTCCTCATGCCACTTCCCAGAAGTACCCCCAAAAGTAAAGCATCCCCACTCTTCAGAGGAGTATTGAAGGGCTCACCACTAGACCTATCCCTCTCTTCTTCCTTTCTGTCAAGCATCCGAGAATAGATTCGGATTTAGTTAGTGAGATTAACTTGAACTCCTAACCCATAGTAATGTAACCATATCATACCACACATTGCTTTGGAGAAAGAGAAACAAGAAAGCAAGACAGCAGACCAGGTGCAGAGGAGACAAATATTATAGCTCCTAAAAGAAGTTCACTGCCACTTTAAGAGACTAAGACTGTCAAATAAAATATACCACAAATGTCGCCACAAGATGCATTGCACTAAATCATAGGAACATGTTTCTGTGTTAAGCATAGATTTATAAATATTAGCTTTATATGAGATCTTCTCACTTTAATAAAACTTAAACTGCATTAGATACAAAAACCCCAAATATGTGAAACATTTAAAATAGAAGAAACTATTTTAGTGAAGATTGCTACCTTAGTAAAAGGTTTTATTTTATAGCAGGTTACTTTAAGCAGTCTAAAAATAAATCATTAACTGGAATAACAGACTATTAAAATCCAGTTCAAATTTAAGGTCACTGTAAATAAAGATGAAGCATCTGAAATTATAACTAAGCCACTCGATTTAGAGAATCTGATTTACAAAAATTTGATTTGCATGCAACTTCTCAGTAATACAACGTTATACAAAGTGAGTCATGGCAACGGAATTGTAGGTGATTTTCTTGGTCCCTGAACAAGGTTTTTGTCTTTTAGTTTCTTTAGGAGTACTAAGGATAACTCTTTAGGGATCTCAGAGATGGGGACATCATAGTTTGTCCATCAAGTCCTGGTAGTGTCCGACCAGATGAGAAATCTGGTAATAAATCAGTCTAAACTAGACATAGTTTCCTCCTGACCAATTCTGTTTGTTTGGAGAAATTGTGAGACTGAGGAACATAGTGGTACAGCAAGAGGAGCTTGAAGCAGATTGGTGGTATATGGGAGTCATTTTTTATTCAACCTGAGTAATAGTAGCTTGTTCCAATTCTGGAAGGTAGAAAGGGGCTTGTTTTTATTGTCTATTGCTGCATGAAAAATTACTCCAAAACATGGTGGTTTAAACAATTCTATTTTATTTGCCCATGATTCTGTGGATCAAAAATCCAGAAAAGGCTCAGCTGGGAAATTTCTCTGTTCCACGTAGATTGGCTAGGGTATATAGTGATGCTACAGTCAGATGGTGGCTGGTGCTGGATCATGCAAAATGGGTTTGCCCACATGTGTGGTGCCTTGGCAGGAACAGATGTGAGGCTGGGCATTACTTTATCCTCATGGCTCTCCACACGGTTAACTTGAGTTTCTTTACATGGTGGCTGGGCCATAAGAGTGAGTATGTCAAATGGCAAAGGCAGAACCTCAGGAATTCTTAAGGCTTAACCTTAGAAGTTATACAGCATCACTTCTGCTGTAGCCTACTGCTCAGAACAAGTCACAGAGCCAGCCCAAATCCAAGGAGATGAGAGAAGCAGACTGCCTCTTGATGGGAGAGTGGTAAGAGCACTGCAAAGTAGCATATGAGATGGCATATAATGTGGTAACTAACACAATCTACCACAGGACCTCAAAGATTTCTTAGAAAAATCATGTATATCCTGGGGCTGGCCCTGTGGCTGAGTGATTAAGTTCATGCTCTCTGCTACAGGTGGCCCAGTGTTTTGTTGGTTCGAATCCTGGGCGCAGATATGGCACTGCTCATCAAACCACACTGAGGCAGCGTCCCACATGCCACAACTAGAAGGATCCACAACGAAGGATATACAACTACGTACCAGGGGGCCTTGGGGAGAAAAAGGAAAAAAATAAAATCTTTAAAAAAAAAATCATGTGTATCCTTTCTCATAATGCTCAGCACGAACCTTGGAAAGCAGCCATACTTGGTACTACATATTCTTGGAGGAAAACACAGAAGCTAACAGATAAAACTGGCACTCACCTGACGGAACTGTTCCAGGTCAATTTTGTTTCCCACCAGCACCAGGGGAATTTCATAGGTGTGGCGGACCTGAAAAATGAGCTCTTTAAACTTGGCAGCCTCCTGGAATGATTGGCGGTCAGTGACGGAGTAGCAGATAATGAATCCTTCCCCACCTCGCATATACTGCTCCCTCATGGCTGTGAATTCCGCCTGCAGGAAAAGAGCAAAGTCGTTATATAATTTAAAACCAATGAAGCCAACACAAACATCTATAAAATTAAAGGTCAAATGCAGACAAATTATGAGACTAAGTTGTTTGGGTAGGAATTATCTAAAAGTGTGTTTATGGGCTTTACATATAGAAAAGCAATATTGAGGTCTAAAGGTAACATATGAAATTTGAGTGTTTTCAATTATTCAGAGTGTTGATCTTAAATCATAGGAGATTTGATTTAAGATATCTTGGGGGAGATATGTTAAATAGTAGATTTACTCATGAACTCTTGGGGATTATATATATATATATATTGTACACTTTTAATAGTTTTCTACTTAATGACCTAATATTAGGAAACAAAATATAAAATTTGTATATTGCAAACATCAAGACCTAAAGGAACTAATTTTCTCCTGAAAAATATGAAAACAAATTGGAATTTAACTTTGATTATCCTTGTGAATGGAGGAGGTTATTAGCATAAATAATCTTAGACCCAGTTGTATGTTTGAGTATTCTTAGATTTGTCTCACTAAAGGGTATAAACAGAGGGATTTTGATTGCTGAATCATGGGGCCATTTCTACATTCTGTTAACTCCTTCATCCTTTTATCTCTCTGCAGAGAAAGACAGGGTCACCTTCCACAACATACCAACGTTCCAACCTTTTTCATGTTGTATTCCACCTAACTATAATTTCCTGGTAATTGAAAATTCAATGTTTGGTCTGAATTGCAATCTGAAACCTTCCTTTCAGTCTGAAATATCTGTTTTCATTACTTATTTTTCTGGATCTATTGTTCAAATTACAAGGGCTAATGAGATCAGTGTGATAGGAAATATAAAACTTAGACTCTGGCTATGGAACAAGCCATATTAAACAATAAAAGGACAGCACAAGAACATATTGTGACTTGGACGATTTGTGAAATAAGTAACCAAATGAAGCAAAATTCACATGAGCTTGAGCTGTGTTTGAAGATTTTCAAAAGATGTGAGTTCTTTACCCAGTAAAGAGTTTACAAATATTACTAAAATGCCCTGCTTAGAGTAACTGTCTAAACAAATGATAATTTGATTAAAGATGACTTTTGAAGGATGGGAGCATTTACATAGATGCAGAAAGTCTGGAGAAGTGGGCTTACAAGTCCAGAGAGAGTAATAAAGTTAATAAGGTCCTGAGTTAGTGGGTGAATCTCAAATTACTTTTAGTCAATATGGAATGGATGCAAACAGTATCAGTGGGTTCAACCAATCATTTCAAAGTTGCAAGAACCAGAGCCCAGAGAGGAAAGAAGACTTGTGCAAGAATGGATAGCCAGCTAATGTAGTGTTGGTTTGAATAATTCATATTCTCGATTCTCACTATATCAATGTACTTAGTATTCCATTTTACTTTAATTCAATCCTAAATTTCACCATGTGAGTGAAATGTACCAACATGGGAGAAAAAAAGTCCTGCTAGACCTCAGAGTTTCTTCATCTCCAAAACAAGGTTAGATTATAAAATATCTGAGATTCCTCATTGTTCTGACATTCTCTGCCTTTGAAAACCCTATGCCTTAATCAGAATCCCATAGTTGATATGGATAGCCTAAAGAAGTATGGGCTGAAATTGCTAACTAACGTTTCCCAAACTTATAATTAATTTTTCAAGTAGAAATGATACAATCATCATAGAAATATATATGATCTTCAAGAAAATGGATTTGTTACAATAGTTGCATATGATTGAAACCATAACAAAAATGCAAACCAAAGTGGAGAAGATCGATTTTACAATTTACAGTTCACTCTACTTGCCAATTATTATTTTAAGTATTAAAATTCTTTATTTTTACTCTACTATTTATTGAAAATACATACACATGGCAAAATATTTGTGATACATTAATATATAAAATTTAGTTTTCTTCCTACCTCAAACTCCCAGTTTTCCTTCCCAAATGCACCACAGTTAATAGTTTCTTTATCCTGGGAGAAATAGTTTATGTATTCACAAGCATAGGCATTCACATTCCACCTTAATGCACCTTTTCAAACTCAAATGGGAAAATAATATATACGATTTTTATTTTTACCCTTAATTAAAATTTAATAGCCCTAATATACCTTGGAGACTATTCCATAGAAGCATACGCAAATGTTGCTTATTTTTTTCCATGGATGTATCAAAATTCGTTTTATGCATGTACTATAATTTATTTAACTAGTTGCCTATGAACAGGCGTTTTGATTTCCTCCTTTTATTCCTATTATAAACAATGCTGAAATGTACATTTTTAAACATACATGTTACACCAGAGGGATCTATATACACCTGAGAAGTAGCATTGCTAGATCAAAAGGAACATTCATTTTACTTTGGAGAGTGTCACTCACCATCAAAGACATTGTGCCAGTAACACTGTCTTCAACACTATATAAACGTGCTTGTGTCCCCTCATTCTCGCCAATGCTGCTTATCAAATTTTTCTACCTTTTATAAAATTTAGGGTAAAAAATATATTATCTTGTTCCTTTCATCTGCTTTTATTTTTTAGTTATATTGAGCATCTTCTATGTTATTACTCCTTTACGAATTTTCTTCTAGATATGGATTTTATTTTGTTGTAAGAAATGAAGTAGCTTTTGATTTGTGAATTGGAGATTTTTTAAAAAACTTTGGACTGAGAAGGTTCTTTCTATGTGAGACACAAAATAAAGCAGTAAATTTGACTACTTTGACAATGACTACACTGTAGAAAAAAAACTAATAAGTTTGAAAACTTCCAACAATCTATTAGGAAGACAAGCAAAGCATACGAAGGTAAAGTTCATGGAGAAAATACATAAATGAGTGAATATCCAATAGTGCTGGTTAACCAGACTCAAATACACATATATGTCATATTCTAAATAGAGATACCAGGGCTTGCATCTGATCTCAATTGGAATTTCCAGGTATGAGGTTCTAGAATTAGTATTTTAAAGAGCTCCTTGGTTGACTATTTTTGTACCTCTATGTGGGGGCACGTAACTCCGTTTATGTCCAAAAGTCATCTTTACAACCTGAGTACAGAATCTGGGAGTCATAGTACATGACTTCCAGGTCTGTTACTCACTTAGAGCGTGTCTTCTGACAAATCGTCTAAACACTCAGAGCCTCAATTTCCTTCTTTGTCAAAAAGGGATTAGGACACACTCGTAACCTGATTTACAGGGCTATAGAAAGGATCAAATGTAAGAACAGATGTGAAAACGCTTTGATGAATTTTTAAAATACAGTACAAATTAAGCCTATTATTATCTCTGGTACAAATCCGGCAGAATATAACCTTTCACTGGGAGAACAGGCATGAAATCCTCTTTGAGCTGCATTAAATATAAATGTGGAAGTATTTCTCAAATATGCTTAATCAGAAAATTACTAAGTTTTTTTTTTCAAATAGGAGATTCTTTCCACCAATTAAACAGATATAATTAAGTTATTCCAGTGAGTGGGGAGGCTACTTCCTCTTAGCTGACCTTATCCATACCAACTCTTCTCACAGCATATATATATATCTCTACATATGTAAGTATGTGTTTTACTTAAAGATGCACTGGAGGCTGGTGGGGCCCATTGAATTGAGCAGAAGCTCTGCAGCTATGTATCGACTTAATGATATATGATACTGAAATCACTTTATAAGGAAAAATGCAATGTTCAACATGTGGCTTCCGTTGTCATTCACCCATGAATTAAAGATCCCTGTGCTTTATGTTCTGTGTATCCTGAATGTTAATTAATATCTTCTTCATTTGCTTCCTGCTATAAATGAAACTCGTTGGTTAATTATTCAGGAACATAACTAGATTCCATTTGCTATCCATAAGTAGCAAAATATCTATGAAACAGACCCACTGTGTAAGGTGCTACAAACATAAGCATTTCTAATATCTTCCAAGCAATTCTGAGTATAACTCTGCAGCTTGATCAGTGCCCTTTGATGTGCTTCTTGTATTAGAATAGTGTTAGAATTCTCTTAATTATGAAATTGAAGAAAGAATTGCTGATTGATTTCATATGCCATTTCTTGATCATCAGAGTAATAATTTCGAGTAGATATTCGAAACAGGGACTGAACCAGCTCCCCATTTTATTCAACTAGTGGTACTGCATCGTATGAAAGCCTTGCGATTTACCAAATGTACTAGCACTACTGTCAGACCAGCCTTCAACTGCCTCCTAGTGCAACACACCCACACCATTGTCTATACTGGTTGCTATACCCACATAACCACATCGCCACACCAAATTTATCCTACCACTACAAAAAAAGTAAATAAAAAAAAATGTCTGGCAGGCAGCTAACACTATACCCTGTGGTGGGATATACAACAAGTAAAAAAATAGTACGTCCCTGTCCTAGTTGGAGAAACACAACTAGGCCAGGATATAACAAACGGAGAGCAATTAAATTAAGTGCCAAATGATCCATAGGGGTTCACAGATGGGGAAGGGCAGTTTTCAGGAAGCGGGCAAAGAGGGCTTGGCGGAAGAAATGAGGTGTGCTATTTTTTCTTAAATTTATTATTTGTAAAGAGCTCCTCAACTTTCATGCAACCCCACCTCCAAAGATTATGTATTGTCACCCTGAAACAACCTTTAATGATCCAAAGTCAGCATTTGCATGGCAGTTAAACATCTAGGGTCTGTATGCCAGTCAACAGTTCAGTTTTTGGGGGCTGTCAGAGGAGCAACATGGTTGTTGTTGCTGTTGTTTGCACACTTTTTTAAAATAGAAAATAAAAATGGCATGAGAGTGAGGACAGTGTAGGTTTCACAAATTTACTGGAATTTATGCAAAGTACAAAGATTGGAATCAGTAGGAGTGGTGTTTCTTCAGGCTCAATCTGATGCCTCAAGCAGTTTAAGAATGTTCAATTGAAATGGAAATGAACAAAGAGCTTCTATAAATGCTAATATGTTATCAAAGATTGTGTCTAAAAGACAAAATATAGTTAAGCA